CCCTCCCTCTCGCTCAGTATATCAAATATTCACATTTTTTAAACATTCGTTGAACTTTATTCAATGTAAGAAAGAGATCTGATGTATGCCTAAAAATAGAAGAGAAATGAAATCTATAGCCTCAAGAGTTTTTCCAATCCGATTAAAGTGTAATAACTAATATACAGATAGAAAAAAAATAAAGATTAAAAGAAGATAAAAAAATTTATATTAATTCTTAAATTTATAATATTAGAAGTTTATAACAGTTTCCTTTTATCAAAATTGTGCTATAATAGCTTCTTGTTCACATTTCCTACGTAAATATTAAATTATAATTGTTTCGCAATTAATTTCCAGCATTAAAATTTTGTTTCTACGATTAAATTTTCTAAATTTTTTGAATCTTTCAACTTCACTAAATTTTACAAATATATACATATATACTTGTAAGTTTATATATATATATATATATATATACATTTAATAATTATTGAGTCTACGCCACTCAATTTAGCCGTATAGAGTTATTTTTATGATAATGATTGTGCATAGAACTGCTGAGTTAGAAGAATATTGTTAATAATAGCGAGGTCGAGACCATCTCAGAGCTGACGTTGTGCGGCATTCTCTAAGTGAATCTCTATGTCACGTAAAATGCCACTTAAAATAGATCGCGACAAAAAAAAAAAGGTAAATGAATTAGAAGAAGGTATGAACGTACCAACGCCATTGGACTGCGAGGTCGGGAGTTGCACAGCGACGCCGAAGCCGCGCAGCTTCACCGGGGCGGAATTTTCCTTGCCAGCTAGAAGGGCGCACTGCGGCTTCAGGTCACGATGAATAATGTCGTTCTCGTGGCAGTAACGCAACGCTTCAAGGATCTGTCGCATGTAGTGACTGTAAAAGAAAGTGCAGTTTTCTTAGGTGCCGGCTTGCATCAGCACGTCAAGAGAGTATGTCCTCACAATCGAGAACAATAGTGAAAGCAGTACGAAATACAAGCATTTTGGAGACACAAGAAGCGAGTTTTTTATCAAGAATTTAAGTAGAGCGATTAAAGTTCGCCTCGTTACGTCGTGTAATGATTTTATACCACAAAATCCTTGAATCTTTTAACGATTCTATCTCAGAGGAAAATTTAAAAGATAATGAATAATTATAGGACAATAATACAAATCCAAAAGTGTAATTCATAATATAAAAAATGAAATAATAAAAATTTATTAACAACGTCATTTAATTGTCCGTGTATATCTCCAAATTATTATATAAAATAACTCTATGGC